TAATGACATATTGCATGAAAGCTTTTTAAACTGTTTCTCGGCGATGTAAGCTCCCGAGTCTGTTTAAAAATATATGGATCAATAATCTGTGAAACATTTTAAAACAACAACGGCAGGAAAGACTCGTCCCCACAGGACACCGCGTGCTGCGCTAAAGGGTTAACGATGATGTGAGCAGCAGCTCCTTGCAGCACAAAGAACAATCAGGAGGCAGGTTGGTGAGAAGCTCCTGCGTCGAGTTTTCAGAGCTGAGATGCAACATTCCCCAGCCTGCGGGCGAATCTGACGACTGCTGCACACCAAACATCCAGCCTCACCCCGAGCGGCCGACGAGACGCTCCGTCTGCAGCAAACACGCAGGGAAAGAAGCCATCAGCAGTTCAGCATGGCAGTAATGGTTTTAGAAACACAGGCTGGCCTGAAGGGGGCGCTCTGTTATATGCATTTATGCTCCCAAACCACTTCCTGTTAATATCACTGTACAGGAACCTGCTATAATGTGCATGTGCAGCAGGGGGCGCTGTTCCTAGACAAAAACATTTTATTTTAGTCTGTGTAAATTTTCTCACGCTGTCCACAAACCCCAGCGTTCTGCTAGTGCGTGCCGATTGGTCAGTTAATGATGTAGGACAGGGCGTCGCCGCGATGGTGGTTTCCAAAAGATCGTTAATATGTTAACTCTGAGCTGTAGCCACTGACTCAAACCCTTCGATTAAAAAATATACAGAAGTCTGGATGAACTCGAGAGCGCCCCCTGCAGCAACCAGCAAGAAGCTCTGTGTTTGTGAGTCTGACTAGCATTAGCCTCAACTGGCCGTTAGAGGAACTGCATCTTTTGGTGGGTCCACTTTCAGTCACTGCCAACCGCTAACCGTCAACCTTTTTATTGCTGCAACCATGACAGCCTCTAGTTAGCGTCCTCGCTTCTCTGACCTGAGGACTGAGGTGAGCTTCATGACAGCGACCAGTCATAGAAAGGTGTTTTTGATCGGTTCAAACGTGAACTTTGGCCCCTCCCAAATTTCAAAGGTTAACCCTCGCCTTGTTGTCCCGTCCCTGCAGGCGCAGCAGTGCGAGCATGCTGACCTGATCCAAAATGTGCAGCTCGACCAACAGCAGCTCAGCGCTGGCG